GTCATCGAGGGCCCTGTATAGAGCACTAGTGCATTGTATACGATATGCGGCTCACTAATTAAAGCGGAACTGTAAAGAGATACAGGCACCGACCACCTAGGCACCATACGAAATATGCCCTGTACAGTTAAAGTTGGGCATTTGGCGCCCCCACCCCCTCCCCCCAATCTCTGAAGATATGTAAGAATGCTGGCAGGAGAATTTCGTTTATTTGATTTATTTGCCGCCTTAGATTTCCGTTATGGTGATATCACAGACTGGTCGAGGGAGGCCGAAATGTTGCCTGCGCGGTGAAATGCAGACAAGAAAAATGACAGTGTTGAGCGTGCCCCACATGTGCCTAGCATAAGCTATGGAATTTTATCCTGACCTTCCCGCCCATAAATGAAACATATTCAATTCGTCCGCGCTTTCGGACTTACGGCTGCCGATAGACTGTTTTAAAGTCCGACTTAACGCCTTTAACCTTCAATGTTTACAGTCACTGACCGATCTTATGGACTGATATTTGAAAGTCGATAAGAATTGCGAGATGAATCATCCTGTGACGTCATGGCATGATATGTCAGGATTCCGGCATCCGAATGGACGATTTTTCAACCGCCTAAAACACCGAAACTCGGTAAAACTGACTATCAAATTATTATACTTCTCTCTTATGTGGATTAGCGATGTTCTTATAAATTTAAATATATTTCATAGAAGCCGTAGCAAAATTTTCCTTCTTGTACTAACTTGATAGGACCTATCGTCTTCTAAGAACTGCTATTTTTCAGGTTTTAAAGAAGGTTCGTATGTTAAGACCATACAATATTCATTCAAATCGTACCATTTTTGCTCATATATTAATGCCTCTGACGACGTATACAACAAAATGTACATTTATTACACAATTTTCTGAACATTATACGTATCTCCTTAATGGTATGGAGAATAAACTGCTATTTTTTATATCGAAAGCACACAATTTGTAGACTGACACCCCTACAGGCAAATACCCATGCCCTTAAATTATTCAAAATTAAAAACCTTCTTTAAGACCTAATTTCACCCTTCCTGTGAATTAGACGCCACATGCTATCCCGTTATAACAAGAATGGGTAGATATACTAACATTCTCTATGATAATGAATTGTCTTTATAAGAGTATCGAACACTTATATTAGAATATATGCTTCTTAAATTGTCATTTTTTATTGAGGATGTTGTTTGAAGACAGACTAAGGTTTGCATTCGAAATTCGGCATCCCAGCATGCCTGATATATTATGAGATTATGCTGCGGTTTCGTTTTATTTTTCAATAGGATTTTCATTTTGTTAGGCCCTTTGAAACTGTTCAGAGTGAGAAATAGAGTACCGCTCTATCGTTGCTAATGGCATTTGTTGATAACAAAACGATACAAGTCATAAATTATGTCAAAGAAAGTACACGCATATAAATGGCAAAGTGGCAGTTTGGAAGATAAGATTAATGGGTTGGCTTATTATAAATGTTAGGCCTTGTTAACTCTAGCGTTAGCGATATAAGCTTTAATTAAATTTCCTTTTTTTCTAAACGCAGATTTCAACTGCCAGGTAAGTGAACATATGAGATCACTTTTGCTTGCTTTCCAGGCCGTTCCTTTTAGCCTATTCAGCTATGGACGGCCTTCATGCAACCTCGAGAACTATTAGTAGGGGGACGTATATGGGCTCTGACATAGGAATCATACGACAATACGGACGTCTTTGTACCAAAAACACCAAAGAAGATA